TTCAGACAAGATAAAATTGTTGAAGGTATCTTTTATGCAAACTATCAAAAAAGAAAAGTTGATTATCCTCCTTGCAAATATTGCAAAAAGAAAACACATTTGGAAAAATTCTGTTAGTGGAGATCTGATACAGTATGCGGAAGTTGCAAACAAACAGGTCATGTTACAAAAGTGTGCAAGTTCAAAGACACTCAAGATAATCACAAGCATTACTAGTAGAAGAAGAATGTGAGGATGAATTTTATTAGAAGATATTTTTGAAGAATAATTAAGTGTTCAAACTCAAGTTAGATATACCAACTTGAGTTTGAGGAGGAATGTTGAAATTTGGTAGAATTTTTTTACTTTTTTTTTTAGTCTAAAAATATTTTATAGTATTTAATTTCCTTTCAAGTTTAGGGTTTACATTAATTGCAAAATATTTAGTTTTATTTTAGTTTAGTATCTAGAAGGATTCTCCTTTAATAAAGATTCTCCTTAATTATTTATAAATAGAGATATACTCTTCTATTTGAATCAATGCAAGAATCAATACAAAGAGTTATCATTCGTTCTCTCTTTAATTTCTCTTTCTAGTTTCTTCTATTCCATAACAGACCCAGGGCAAGTTCTTGACAGTTTTCCACATCTTCTAGCACTAAATGTAAGAATTTAACTCCCCTAATCCGTATTTCGATCCATAGAACGTAGTTTCTTGGGTAATTATCATTGGGGGAAGGTTTTGATCTGAAGTTAATGGTGAAAAAGCCCCAATTTGGGTATTGGGATCTTGGGTTGGCCTAGGGTTGATAATGTTGATTATAATCCGAGTAATTAGGCCTCATTTATTGATCCTTGCGTTAATTGTATGTTTTTAGACCACGAACAAGCGGGAAGAATCTGGAAAGGGATGGCTCAAGTGTCTTAGGAGGATTCAAGCTTGGTTTCGAGGTAGGTGATGGTTGTAATTTCATGTTTTGCGTGATGTATGTTAGTAATTGCTTTATTGTAATGCATGTATGTATGTGAAGGAAACCTATTGATCACACCTAATGTAATTGAGTATGAACGAATAATTGTATGTCATGAATCAACACTTGATTGTATAATTATGAGAATGTACATTGTGATTGTGATTGTGGCTTGTTGAATGGTTCAGGTGTCACGTTCCAACACACTAACTTGGATCGGGTGCCACGTTTCGACACATATATGGGATCGGGTGTCACATTCGGCACACTAATTGGGATCGTGTACCACGTTTCGATATACTAACAGTTTGGGCTTGGGTTCCATGAGAAGACCATTGACTTGTCATATATACCTGTTATTGAGAATGTGGAATTATACATTGACCCTGAAATGATAACTGATATTTATATCCTGTATATGCGTGTTTTACTTTGTTGTGACTGCTTATATATACTTCGCTTACTAGAATAGCCGTGTGATTTTACTAGTACAATGTGGTTGTGTACTGATATTGCACTTGCTTGTTCTTTGTTGAGTATAGGACATCTTCAGGCGGCTATTGATAGCCCTCAGCTAGATGACTATTGAGCGTAACCGGATTCAAGGGTGAGCCAGTTCTTTTAGGCTGTCATGGATCTCTCTTGTTTAAGTCCATTCTTTTTGAACTCAGACTATTTGTTTAGGGTGTTTGTTTAGTGTCAGGGCTGAGCCCCTTTTCTTAGACGTGTCGTTAGTAGATTTTTGGTACAATGACTTTCAGGTTCTAGGGGTTGTTCTTCCGCATTAGTTTAGCTAGTTTATTTAAACCTTTGGAGTTTATGGGAACTCTATATAATTTATGCATTTAAACCTGCTTTCGTACCTTTAAATGCCTAGTTTTTCGTTAAGTTGTTTAGTCGGGTTGTAGTAATGGTTCTCCCATCGGAGGGTTAGTGTGGGTGTCAATCACGACGATCTGGGTCGTGACAATTCATTCAGAATAGACAGGATTTATGCTTGAATTTACCTTGAAAGTTATGTAATTTATTATTCTTATAATTTGAATCTTCTCACGTAAACTAGAACAAAGAAATTAGGATTTGTCGGTTTTATTTTTCGATAGGACGGGGCGGATATAATTAGGTTGTGTTTAAACTTTATCGTTAAACTCAATTTGAGTTTATATAGTTTGATTTGCTCTCCCTTATATCATGGTCTAAAGAAAATGGATAAGAAACTCGTAAAATTGATATAACTTAATAACTACGATCACGTTAAAGAGATATGAAAAGAAACTCGTTGAATTGAAATAACTCAATTAATAATTAGGATCACGTTAAAGAGATATGAATAGCCACCATTTGTATTTTATGGCAAACGAGGCTTATAAGAGCATCCTTCACTTCTAATCTTAAAGTTATGAATTTAAGTCACTAAAAAGATAAAAAAGATGAAAGCTACTATGAAAAGACAAAAAGAAAAAATTAATATATTTTATCAGTCTAATTATATTCTATATGTATATAACTAGAATCACATTAAAGAGATATGAATAACAACGGATTCTTCGCAAAAATCTAAATTTAGGCAAAGAGAGTTTGTATGCTACAACTCCAACCATTTCAATTGAATATTGTGTTGAGAAAAAAAGAAGAAGAGAAAAAGTAAAGAAAATAAAACAAGCTTTGAGTAGGTCGACCCAACTAGAAACGTGAGGACTGAGGAGAATGAGATAAGGAGATAAAAACTTTAAAAAATATATTAAAATGTTTTTTCTTAGATTTTCTAGGTACTTTTGAATATTTAGAGTCTGTTTGACATTGCTATTAAAAACTTTTTTAAAATAGTTTTTCAAATAAGTGTTTTTTTAAAAAAAAAAACAATTTGTGTTTGGCTAATTCATTTAAAAAGTGTTTTTTTAAGTCTTAATGATATCAATACAACACATGATACTGATTTAGTATCAGTTAAGCGAAATTATCAGTCTTAATGATATCAATACAATATATGATATCTTAATGATATCAATACAACACATGATACTGATTTAGTATCAGTTAAGCGAAATTATCAGTCTTAATGATATCAATACAATATATGATATCTTAATGATATCAATACAACGCATGATACTGATTTAGTATCAGTTAAGCGAAATTATCAGTCTTAATGATATCAATACAATATATGATATCAGTTAAGTAAAAATTATCAGTCTTAATGAATGAGGGGTATGTACTGTAATTATTATGAGAGAATGGATATTTTAAGAATTACTTTGGATTTAGGTATGAACTTGTAATTATTTGAATTTTGTGGCCAATTTATGTAGTTTTTCCTAAAATTAATTGTGTATTTGGGTAAGTATATTTTACACAAATCCCGTAGTGTTAAGACATAATTACATTCTATCCGTATTCTTTTCTAAATTACAAAAATCCCTTAAATTTGGTGGAATCTGGATACATCCCAAAATGTGACGATACATCACGTCCCGGTTTCGGATACATCCCTCAACGTTTTGATACATCGTGTCTTGATTTTAGATACATCATTCAACATCCCGATACATCGCGTAAAATGATGTATCTGGCTAATACATCGTGTATGTCCCGATACATCGTAAAGTGATGTATTTGAACGATACATCGCGTAAAGTAGGGATTTTTGTAATTTTTTCAAATGGTAGAATTTTTTTTATATTTAGGTAATTTTTCCTAAAATTATTGAGATTAAGCGTGCCAAATTGGACGGGTCATGATTGAACTCATTTTTAGCCCATTTGAGCCCAAAATAAACTTAGACGGATCATGACCCCAACTTGATTTTTATTTCAACTCGTTCTCTCATTTCAACCCAACCTATTCATTTGACATCCTTACATACACCCCATAAGAAATTTACGCCCAAACTTAGATGAACGCCACAAAAATATCAAAGACTTACGCCTTATAAGACTTTTACTATCATCACCGTCACCATTCACTCCCACCCCCACAATGCCTCGGTGGGTTTTTGCTACGCCTTTTCCCGCCTTTGAAAACACATCCAATCTTGTTGACTATCATAACAATAGCACCTACTATAGGTCTCTAAAGTCTTGTTTAGCACCTATATTTGACCAAAGCCCTCAGCAATGCGAATAATCTATATCTAATGGCCAAACACATATACAGCCCCTCTAACTTGTTCACATTTTTTATTTTGGCACTTTATTTTAGCCTTGTTCCATTTTAACTCTTGAACTTCATTTTTTATGTTCCATTTTAACACGAAATACTATTTTTATGATTTATTTATTTTTATATATATTCTTCAATTGCAACTTCTTATTTTAAATCGATATGTGTAATTTAATTTTAGTTAAAAAATTAAAAATTAACAAAAAATAATTCTTTTTAAAAAATAATAATTTCTTTTTAAGAGTGTTATGTATTTTTGTGTGAAAAATAACCGACGAAATTGTGTTAGTTTTCTTTCTTTAAAATCACTGCAACCTAATAAAGTCAGTCGAGTTTTAACATTGTTTAGTAGTGTTATTAGCAATGAACAAGAGTCTTTTTTTAGTAGTGTTATTAACTAAGTCAGTCGAGTCTTTTTGAAGATGGATTTTTTTAATTCGTATTGATTTATATTAAAAATTAAAAGTGAGTATTTGCGTTAAATTTAGATAGCCTAGATGATAAGAAAAAATAAATAAGTAGTGTTATTTAATTTGATTGAATGTTTAAGAAAGAAAATCAAAGAACTTTCGTCAATTTATTTTCATGCAAAAATACAGAGAAATAGCAAAAAATAATATTATTGTTTGAAATTTTTTATGTTCGTTCGCGAATGTTTAATCTTTTTAATTAACAGGCACACGTCTATTTTTTTAAAATAAGAAATTGCAATTGAAGAACATAAATAAAAACAAATCATAAAAATTAGTATAAGTGTTTAAATGGTACAAAAAAAATGGAGTTTAAGGGTTAAAATGGAACAAGGCTAAGTTGGAGTGCCAAAATGAAAAATGAGGGCAAGTTGGAGGGGTTGTATATGTGTTTGGCCATATCTAATAAAATGATAAGTTCCTGTATGATGCATATTATATCATGTAGAATTAGTATAGTTACTTATTCAATTTCATACAAATTTAGATGTTTAATTACGCACCTTCAAAGTAATAAGAATATAAACACTAGCTAAGCAAAGTTAAAAAACACGCTTATGTATTATCCGAGGGAAATAAAGCAAAAGAGCATGAACACCAACCTCTTCCCGGAATATAGATGATCCCTTCTCCGGCACTGAATTTAGCATCCATATCTGGATTATACCTTCGTATTAACTCAGCACTCACATTCGTCGTCGCCGTCACATACGTCAAGTTCTCCTCCGATCTCAAAGGATACGTCACAAAAACCCCAAAATCTTCAGAAACATCTCTATCTCCACATGAACAATTCACAACAACACTCAAATTCACACCAGGCGGAATATTATTCTCCGGGTATCTACTATTAAACCTCCTCAACAAATCAACACTCGTCAAATCAGAGTAATTCGACACAATTATACTATACGTATCCCCTGAATTAACCTCATATTGAAAATCATGACCTAAAAAATCGCCGTCCTCCAAGCAATCACAGCGAAAAGGTATGTTAATTCTAGTTCCGGCAATTACACTGTCTAGATTTGGGATGGTATCTCTGGTGTTGTAATCCATGATTTCTTGTCTAGTTTCGATATTGAATAAATTTGCGATGTAAGTGAGATCTGTTCCTCGCCATACGTAGAATGATGCTAATGCTAAATCGCAACCTCTGTTGCATTGAGAGTTAACTGGTAATGGAGCAGAGGATAAGTAAATTAGTATAAAGAAAAGGGATAAGTTCAACATAAAGTTTTTTGGGTTGGATTCAAACATGGAAAAAATTCTGAAATGTGTATTTGGGAAATTTTGATACTTGCAAGAATTTGTTTTTTTTGGGAGATTTTTTAGATGGGTATTTGATAAAGTTGGATTGAAAATAGTAAAATAATGAATGATTTAATTGGTATATAGTATTGTTTTTGACATTCTAGATATTGCACTGCTCATATGAAATATTATTTGACCGGTAGAACTTTAGATAAAAGTTGGTATTATGGTATTGTTGAATATAATGAATTTTATGTTTGAAAAATGACTATAGTTAATAATAAGAGTAAATTAGAACTAGATGATAAATTATCTCTTGATTTTTTTAATTTGAATAAGTAAATTAGAATTTATTTTTAAACCACTGAATGATGTGATACATGAGATAAATTGTTTCTCCCGTAATTATAGGTCTCGCATTCAAATTTTGGATATGAAAAATTTCTTTGATAGGAAGCTTTTCTCTTAATGGGCCCCTACGTTGCGCGAAATCAAAATAATCGGACTCTAATTTTATTTTTAATAATATAATGGACAAATAAAAATAGGTTAATAAAGTAAAAAGGAAAAATCTATTTTTTAGTAGAGTACATTATTTTCAATTTTGATTTTTAGTTGTGGAAAATAATAAAAGAATTATGTCATCAACACACATGTCACGGAGGTTAATGAAATCATCAACATAACCAATTATGATTGTCTTTCATTCTTAATCAGAAATCTCGGGTTTGAGTTGCCCTAATTTTGAGTTGCCTTTGTTAGGGATAGTTTTACCTTCTTCTTGACATGAATTTGAATTTTGCCGGGCTTCAATGTAGATAATGTTACCAGATATTAAAAATAAAAAAAAAGAGAGAGAGCATCAACATGACAGTCTTCTATGGTGGCTTTTTTCCTTTTCTTTTCAAATTCTGCTTCTATATATAGCGGCCGTCGTAACGTTTAGTATTTGCAATTCTAAACCGTTGGATTGATAGAAATTTGAGTCGAAGCCCTTGATCACTCCACCAAAGTCAAATTTTACTACTTGTAGTACTAATAAATTTCGTTATTTTCTGATATTACATTTGAGGAAAATTATTTTTTGCCTCATGTGATTATGTTAGTTGGATTTGCTCTCCTTCCGTTGTTCAATAAAAATGCATAAAAACTTATGAAATTATTATAACTTTACTCCGATATTTAGAACTCTTATTTCTTATGTCATAGTTATAACTATTACAAGAAAAACAGTATCCTATGACTTCGAAAGAAGCAAAGAAATAATGAAAAAAAAAAAAAAACAAGAAAAAGGGTATAATTAACTTACTCAAAATCTACTTTATAACATATTAATTAACTTCTATTAATCCTTTTTTGACTCCATGACATGTGAATGTTGGCATGAGAAGTTTGTTGGACAAAATCAAATTTTGTTTTTTATATTTGTCTTTTTTTAATCTCATTTGGATAATAATTCTGGCATGTAAAAGAACTCTTTTAACAGAATCAAATATAGTGAGAATTGATCTTCTAAACAATTTACAAATTGTAGAGATTTTTATTTTTATTCCTAAGAAATTTGAAAAGGTTATTTTTTCTGTTCATAGTGGTCAAGAGATCTTAATTCCTTTTAAAATAAAATAAAAACTTATATTCATGAGCACATCAGCACACATGATAAAGTGTTTCTATTAGACATTTTCAACTCAAATTTTAGAAAAACTTTTGTGCGTACTCTCAAACGTCCATTACGTAAATAACTTAATCACTTAAGATATATATGGCATGAGCTTTCTTAACTATTTACATTAGTCTTAATAAGTTGTAAAATCTTGACTTTGTTTCAATTGAGTTTGATGTGTATAATTAAATACCTTACTCAAAAAATTAAACTAATAAACGAAAGGTGCTTATTTTCCCTTTTTTTGTTAGTTTTTTACTGAGCTACTGTTCATGTAATTTACAAAATACACCCTCTAAATATCTTGAATGGCATATTTACTTTTATTTTCATTTCTCCAAATCAAGGAGTTAGTCCACATAACTTTAATAAATAATATTTTTAAGAATATTTAGAAATTAAAGTTGAAAAGAATCAAGCATGGGTCTTTAAATTTACTCCATTTGTCAAGCCCTTGTATTTAATTATTTATTTCATTTATTGATTTGTCTCATAAAAGGACTACTTTTCAAAGTCCTCTAATTTGAATTTTCAGTTTTGACGAGTCTAGGATGTTGTCTTTTTGTTGAATTCACATTTCACGTGTTCAACTTTTCACAAAATGGAAAATGTTTAATACTTCCTTAGCTCATTTTTATTTGTTATATTTGGAAGGCAAAAGGGTCTGGTGGATCCTAGTACTTATATGAGTTTCTATTGTGAACCCTTTTACTTATCAATTTGTCATCTGGAGCCCTGAACCCATTTTAACTCAACATTTTAAACACGTTTTCTGACTTGGCGTCCTATTTGCAGACACAACAAGGGGCGTGTGATACACACACCTGAGGAGCGTGAAATCTGGTTAAAAGGGTCTAATAGCCACATTATGGTTTTATAAAGTCATATTCTTCCCTATTTGCATTTAACATCATTATTAGACAAATTAGAGCTTTTTCTTGCCTCTTTTTCGATCTTCTTTCTCCAAATTTCTTCTCCATCTTTTTTCATCGTTATACTCCTCTTTTATTTCTATGCATTTCCAGTTAATTCTTTGCTTCATTTTGTGGTTGATCCTATTGTAGTTTTCTACATCATCATGAAAGTTGCTTTTCTTAGAATCCTATAATCTAATAGAAATCATGAAACATGTTATTGAAAGAATAACAAATAGAATCCCCAAAAAATTTCAAAAAATAGTATAATTGATTAAAAACCTAAAAGTTAAACAAAGACATAAATAGAAGATGAAATCTAGACTAAACAACATACAAATACGAAAATAAGTTACAAAATTTACATAGATAAATTAAAAATCAAACAAAACCAACAAAAATACTCAAACAATTTTGTGGGAATGAAGAAAAAAATGAGAAAAAAAAGTGGGTATATATAGCCACACACAGATACTGGTCTAGGACGACTTTGACACACTGCACACTCAAGCGGTGAACCTCTCTTCTTTGATTTGGATGAAAACAAAGACGGATTGCCTTGATTGCTACTGGTGTTTTTTCTTCAATGAAAAGAGTAGAAGAGGTTGAAAAAAAAAAGTGCAAGGACGATGAAAGAGAAATGAAATGAGATTGTGGGGGAAAGTGGTGGGTTTGGTGGCAAAAGGCAAATAAAAATCAGAAATATATTAATTAAATATAACAAAAATGTCAAGATGACATGAAGTGGTATATATATACACGTGTCATTTTATAGTTATTTTTAAAATTGTGTGTCAGGCGTTTGTGGTACACGCACAACTAAAGGGTAAAAAAGGTGTTTAAAATGTTGAGTTTAGATGGGTTCAGGGGTCCAGATGACAAATGGGTAAGTAGAAAGGTTCACAATACAAACTCATACAAGTACAAGGGTCCACCAGACCACTTTACCTATTTGGAATAGAAATATCGATTAAGAAAAATAATTATTGACATAATTATTTTATCACAGTATCCTGATTAATTAAGGTTTAGTATTAGATCTTGAAAATGATTTGGAGAATAAATAATTAGTGCTACAGCCTACAAGTAAAACATGGAAAAAAAAAATCTTGATATATTAAAAGTCGCAAGTAAAAGTAAAATTCTATTTTGAATGATAGACAAGTAAAAGTGAATGGGAAAACTAACTTGTTTGGCCAGAATTAGGAGATGAAAAGTGTTCATTTGAAAAAAATAAAGTGTTTGATTAAATTTTTGAGAGAAAATAAGTGTTTCAGGACTGTGTCTCTGCATTATAATTAGTTTAATTTGAGCTTTATATGAACAGAACGAAGAATTATCATATCAAAATGAATGCATTTAAAGAGGGCGGGCGGGGGGGGGGGGGGGGGGATTGTTAGATAATATTGTGATATATTAATATAATAATTGTTTGCTACATATATTCAAATTTAGAGTTAAGACTTTTCAGAGCCCAACTTCATACCTAAATAAGTTGGGCTTCATGCAAATTAAAATGAGAAAATTGTAAGTAATAGCAAACTATTAATTCAAATTAAATATTATAGTCATAGTTTTTTTTATTTGTAATTCGCAGTAAACATTTCATGTTTTTTGTCATCCCATTTGTATACCTAAATATACAAATAGATCAAAATATACAAATGCAGGACCCATTTGTTTACCAAAATATACAAATGCAGGACCCATTTGTATATTGAAATATACAAATAAACCGAAATATACAAATGCAGGATCTATTTGTATACCAAAATATATAAATGCAGGACCCATTTGTATACCTAAATATACAAATAGACCCAAATACATATTTTTTATGTATATATATATACCGAAATATACATATTAATAGTCATAACAAACATAAAATTTGTTATGGAGCGCAATTATACAAACTATAGCTATAACATACAAATATGATTTTTATGTTTGCTAAACCTAAAATTTACTCAATTAAAATTCAAAATCAGACTTAAGAATCTGAAATTAAACTAGTTCAAACTTTACACATTTGAGTCTACAATCAGTAACTTGATAGTAATTATTAGTTTCGTTTCCGAATTATTGACAGCTCTAAAAATACATTTTTAATTAGCTGACCAAATTTAGATACACCTTCGATCTGCCACACGGCATAGCAAGTCGTCACAAACTCCTATAAAAGCATGAAACTCTTAGTTATAAAAAGTCAACAGAAAGTATTAAAACACCCTTTAAACTTGATTTTTTTTTGTGTTGAGTGAAGTTGAAAAAATCATGATAGGTGAATAAGCTATGACATAGTATGACGAAATTTCGAACTTCTACGTGCGAAACTCTAGCACCATATAAGTTTTAAATTTTTCTTGAGTTAAGGATCAAAAATACGCTTAAACTATCCAGTTTTTTGAGTTTCATATTTGAACTATTGAG